GAATTAAAGGCTTTGAACAACCATGTCATTAATCCTCCAACTTGGAGAATTAACCTTGTCACTGCCAGTACGCAGATGAGGAGAAAGAATTGAACAAACAAAGCAACTGGTCTAAAATGACAGTTTCTAAGTACTAAGGCACAGCTGGGTACCAAACCCCGGTTATCTACTTGAGGTGTATCACTGTAGCACTGTCCTCCTGTTGTTCATCGATTTGCCGGAGTGGGCACCAGTAACGTCTCCATTGTGAGACTTGTTGTTACTGTCTTTGGCATATCGAATACGCCACGGTGAGCGTGGAGGTTCTGCTGTGCAGGCGGGATATTCTTGGTAGCTTGTTGGGCTCTCCCAGTACTAAGTTACTTCTATCAGATGTGTTAAAAATTAAATCAAGATATTCTCTTTGGCAAGATTCCTAAGAGTACCTTTTATTGGTATTATTTTATTTTATTTTATTTATTTATTTTTGCTTTTTGGGTCACACTAGGCAATGCATAGGGGTTACTCTTGGCTCACGCGCTCAGGAATTATTCCTGGTTGTGCTCAGGGGACCATATCGGATGCTGGGAATCGAACCCGGGTTGGTCACATGCAAGGTCCTCCCCACTGGACTATTGCTCCAGCCCCAGTATTATTTTTAAAAGGCCAAGCTAGTCGTCTTCGCCATATGCTAATGTTTTTGACTCCTAAGCCCATCGGTTTGGAACCTCAAGAGTTCCTAAACGGCCAATTCCTAGTATCCTAATGAAGCACGCATAAATATCAATGGTCTAAGAGTCGGGATACAGAAAAGAATACGAAGTCCAAGATTAAAAAGTTCTGTACTTCTCCCTCAGTAATGTGACTATGGATTTAGTTGTTTTTTTTTTCTTTTTGGGTCACCCCATCAATGCTCAGGGGTTACTCCTGGCTCTGCACTCAGGAATTACTCCTGGCATTGCTGGAGAACCATATGGGATGCCGGTGTGTGTAAGGCAATTGCCTACCTGCTGTACTACCGCTCCGGCCCCTGGATTTAGTTTTCTCATCGATAGCACAGCGGTAAGGTGTTTGCCTTGCACATAGCCAACATGGCCGACCCGAGTTCGATTCCTCCGCCCCTCTCGGAGAGCCCGGCAAGCTACCGAGAGTATCTCGCCCGCACGGCAGAGCCTGGCAAGCTCCCCGTGACGAATTCGATATGCCAAACAGTAACAACAAAGTCTCCAATGGAGACGTTACTGGGCCCGCTCGAGCAAATCGATGATCAACGGGAGGGCCTTTACCTTTACCATCCTAGTTATAGGGCAGACTTCCCAGGAACACTTAAAAAAAAATCTCAGAACAGTCAATGTAGCCAGACATCAAGGTGGATTTAATATAAATCCAGAGTGATAAGAGTTTTCAAAGATGTTAGAGCTCAGAAAGAATAAAAAAAAAAAATTAAGCGATGTACAAGAAGTTGGCTTTTCCACAGAGCAAATGCCTGTTTTAAAGGAGGAGCTACAGTCATCTCAACAAACCACATGAAGAGTCACTGACCTCCTCAAGTTTCAACCAAATTATAAATCTTGCTCCAACTGTTATCCTTTTAGATCAACAGTCTTGAGCAAGGAAGTGAATCTCTAAATTATTTCAGCCAATCCATGCTTAGAATACACACAATTTCTTTTTTTATTTTTTTTATTTTTATTTTTTTGCTTTTTGGGTCACACCCGGTGTTGCACAGGGGTTACTCCTGGCTTGTGCACTCAGAAATTACTCCTGGCAGTACTCAGGGGATGATATGGGATGGTGGGACTCAAACCCGGGTCGGCCACGTGCAAGGCAAATGCCCTACCCACTGTGCTATCGCTTCTGCCCCAGAATACACACAATTTTGCCAGTGAGGTTATATTTCAAATATAGGTTATTCATAGGTTATGTTTCCAAAAAAAAGGTAATTCATTTGGGAACTGAGAAGATAGTACTGAGTTTAAGGTAATTGCTTTGCATGTGGCTGACCCAGTTTTGATACCCTGCACTACTTGTGGTCCCCTGAGCACCCCCAGAAGTGATCCCTGAGCACAGCATGGTATATGGTCCCCTGAGCACTGCCAGAAGTAAATCCTGAAAACCACCAGGTGTGACCCCCGCCAAACAAACAGAAGTTATCAACTTTACCAGTAAGACTTATTTTTGACATTCTGATTGATAAACCACCAAAGCTTCTGTTTAAAAGACACAGATCAATGAGGAACTTGTGCTGACTGGTTATTCAACTACTTTTCTTTATGTGTGATAAAACTAGAAACTGCACACCTCCTTACTTGGATTATAATGCAAATTACACCCATTCTAGAGCTGGCATTGAGCAGCACAGAGCCCATTACTATGAAGTGTATTGAGACTCACAAAACTTATGTGTGTTATAAATAGCTCATGGTGCTTAACTAGTTGTCTACGAGGATATCTGAATTATTTGGAAGATGCTGATATTGAAGCAGTTTCCAAACCAAGAAAGAGTCAGTGGTTGAGTCCTTCCCATAGCTCAGATTACATTTGACCTCGTGCAAACTAATCTCTCCCTTCTCCTAGGACCATTTGAAACCAGGCTGGGCTCACCTCAGTCAAGTTCCATCCAGAAAGATGAATGACCCAAAGAACCAAAGGCTTTCCAACACCTGTGGGATATTAGCACGTGATACTGGCACCTTGGGGATCAAGAAAGATCAGTGCTCTAAATCAGTGCTTCTCGACCTTATTTTCACCGGGATCCCCTTCTAACCTTGCTTCATTCCTGTGCCCCACTCTCTTACATGTTGGAAGGCCTCAGGCAGTGACCCCCTCTGACACAATTTTTACCTATAGGTCCTTTGGAATACTCTAGGGGACTATTGGGTGCTATCTGACCCCTGATTGAGGAGCACTGCTCTAAATGAGCGTCTTTAATTTTGTGATGACTTTAGAAAAGTCAACTTAAAAAATAATACATGTCAGTGCATTGCCAGTTAGAGAATCTTCTGAAAAAAAAAACATCAGTAAAGTCTCTATTATTTTAGGTTGTCTTCAGAAAGCAAATCTATGTTTTTACTATTTTATAAGCTGGTATCCAATCTCCTTTTCATGGTTTTTTTTTTTATTTGTTTGTTTGCCTGATTTTGTTTTGGGGACACACTGGGTGGTGTGCAGGGCTTACTCCTGGCTCTGCTTTCAGGGATCACACCTGACAGGACTCAGAGAGCAGTTTCTGGGGGCTGAACAAGGAAAAAACCTTATCCACCATCCTATCTCTCTGGCCCCTGTCTTCCAGATGTTTAAACTAATAGATACTAAGCAACCACTGCAAACAAAGCTATATGCAGATATCCATAGTGGATGAAAAATCAAAGGGGCAAGAAAAGAAACCTTGACAGAAACTGAATGGATGTCAGCATGGATGTCAGACTGGAAACAGAAGGCTCAGGCAGGACCTCACTGACCGGTGCCTTTGCTCAAGCCATAATGACATGGTCTCTTTAGAAACTGCCATGGAATAACTTCTCAAAATATTTTCAGACAGAAAGTCAAAATAGAAAGCAGCACTTAACTCCAAAACAGGCTGGAATGGGGACAAAAGATAAATGCGGGAGGAAAGAAAAGGGACATTTGGCCTTTATTATTATTATGATTGGTAATCAGTGGGCTCGAATATTAGTCAGACTTTTACGGGAAACAGCCGAGTTTTCACAAAGCCATTATTCCTTTCCTGCTCTCAACAAAGGCAGTGACTTTTTGGCCAGCTCAATCTCAAGGCCTCATGATGACTTAAATTAAGAAGCCTGACTTGAGCTGGGGAGCTCAGTTTTGTGAGCTAAGTTTTGTTATTATGCCTTCTCTTATCTGAGTCTGCCGCCAAGAAGGTGCTACATAAGCAAACCAATTTTATTTCTTGCTGAGTTTTTTTTTTTATGTGCCCTGGGTGCTATTGCTCTTGTCTCTACGGACAGAGCTGAACACTGAACAAACTAATGATCTCTGACAAGAACAAAGGGCTCAAGGTGCAACAGGTGTTCCAAGTATCATTATAGACTAAAGGTCATTATATATTATATAACGCATATAATCATTATAGATTATAGGTCCTGTATATGGCAAAAGGCAGTGATTGAAAACTTCACATTCAATGCCCTGATTCTGGGGGGGAAAGGGGATGCTACATATTATCTCCATGACACAAGGGAGCTCACCATCTTAACAGCTGAAGAGCAAGAATAAGTAGAACACAGGCTTCGCTGAAGATCCACAAGCAAGTTACAATGTGTATACGACACCCAGCAGAAAATCGGAAATTTTGCCTTGGGGGCGGCAGTAGCTGGCCTAAAACTCAGGAGATCCAAAAGCAGAATTTAAGCAGACACCAAACTCCCCTACGACCAAGAAATACTTCAATGCCCGTCCATCAAAATCAGTGCCAAAACTCAGGGTGCACAAATGAGCTTATGAAAAACATTTTTTAAAAAGATAAGTAAATAAGTACCATGCAAAATGCCTAAGAGCCCCTGAAGCAAGAGTAATCTATCATACCAAGGTGGTTCTTGAATTCAAATCTTGATAGTGTGATAATGGGGTGTGTGGGGGTTGGGGTGGGATTTACACAAGTGTTGAAGAACTTTTTTTTTGCTTTGTTGGGTCACACCCAGCGATGCACTGGGGTTACTCCTGGCTCTTCACTCCGGAATTACTCCTGGCGTTGCTCGGGGGACCATATGGGATGCTGGGAATCGAACCCGGGTCGGCCGCGTGCAAGGCAAACGACCTACCCTATGCTGTGCTATCTCTCCAGCCCCTGAAGAACTTTTTAAATACGGGACCAAAGTATTGCTAGCTCCTTACTGAGATGACTGGCTCCCCTTCCGCTTCACCATCCAGGAATCAGGGCTCAGCTCGGGGTGAGGGCCCGTTCCTAGACAGGTTGTGGGTGCGAGCCTGGCCGCTGGGCGCGGGGGGGGGGGGGTGGTCTGTGCCCCCCCCCCCCCACAGTGGGGGGCGCCCGGACGTACCTCTCTTATTCTGCGTGCCGTGCTTCCTGGCCAGGCTGAGCTCTCTCTGGATTCGGTTTTCCAGGTACTCTTGCTTCTTGCCCAGCATCTCCTCTGTCTCCCGGAGCCTGGCCAAGGCCTCGGGGGCGCTGGCGGCCGCGCGGCTCTTGGACGAGCCGCCCCCCTTAAAGAACTTGCCCAACTTGCTCATGACTGTGCGCGGCGGGAGCTCCCGGGGCCGCACCTGGCGCCAGGTGAGCGAGCTCGTCCTCCGGGCTCCGGGCACCGGGGAATCAACAAGTCCCGGGGCAGGTGACACCCTCGCGCGGGCATTTCCTGCGGCCGCTCGGCCCCGCCCCGAGACGCGGCCCCGGCGGGGAGGGCCTTGGACTTGCACTTGGCCGCGGGAGTCCCGGCCAGCAAGAGCCCCGGAGCTGCAAAGACGCGCTCGCAGCTTTGGGGGGCTCTGGGGGAGTGCATCAGAGCCGCGGGCGGAAGCCTGGAGGCTCTCGGCGGTGCCGGGGGGTCTCAAAGTGTGCGCACACGGCGTGGGCTTTGCAGGTGCGGATTCTTCCAAAACTCTGTTCCTCACCTGTGTTTTTATGTGCGTGCTATCCGTGCGTTGGGACAAAGCGTTCCTGTGTGCAGTCTCCGTCCTGGCCAATCAGAAGAGTCAGAAAGGTTCTTCCAACTGCGAGGCTGACGGGTGGAGGCCAGGACGTCGGGGAGGTTGGCGTCCACCGTGATGCGGGCATGGGCCCAAGTGCCCTGCTGTCGAATGGACTCGCTTCTGCGGGTGTGGACAGGGCAGACGGCTGTGTGCCTGGCTGTCAGCTGGCGTAGGTGAGATCTAGAACATCCTTGCCTGGCTTGAAGTGGGGGAAAGATGAAGGCCGTGTCTCTGGACATATGTCTAAACGTCTGAGGGTACTGGCTGCATCTGATGCAGAGATCAGGAATCTGAAGCTTTCCGTGGGATGGATTGTTAGTGCACCAGAACCTTTCCAAGAGGGCCCCGGAGATAACGCCAGGAACTGGAGTGCGTGGCTGACACACACTGGGCCCTGGGGTTGATACCAGCCCTGCATGACCCCCAGCACCATGCTAAAGGTTTCAAAAATGTTTAACGGGACGAAATGTGTTCAGATCTATCTGTTGTCAAGTGCCCTCCAGAGAAACTAAATGGCACGTAGGAGCGATTCTCCTGAACAAAAGGAACTCTTTTATCTGTGCTCACTAGCCTAGTCCCATCCCCACGCAGTGATGGTTGAGATGAAAGGAGAGAAATATGTAATAACTATAAAGAATGCGGCGCAGCTGAAAAACCCTCAGGCTGCAATGAAGCAGAACATGCAGTTGAGTCTGGATTCTAGTTTTCAGGGGCTAATATGAGGTCCCACTTAAATCAGCCCTGGGGCTGGAAAGATTTTACGGTGGGTAGGGCACTGGGAGCTTGCCTTGTGCCCTCTGGAGTTTGAACCACATATGGTCCCCCCCCTGCCCAGCCCCGAGCTCCACCAGCAATTATCCTTGAGGACAGAGTCAGGAGTAAGCCCTGAGCAGCACCGTAGTATGGCCTAAAACAAAGATTTAGACAATATGCACAGAATTCTTAAGTCTTAACAGCATTTAAAGACTGCCAGCTAACCTGAAACTTGCAAACGAAAAGGGGAGAGTACTTTGAAATTGTGTTTATTTATTTATTTATTTATTTATTTATTGCTTTTTGGGTTACACCCGGCGATACACAGGGGTTACTCTTGGCTCTGCACTCAGGAATTACCCCTGGCGGTGCTCAGGGGACCATATGGGATGCTGGGAATCGAACCTGGGTTGACCGCGTGCAAGGCAAACGCCCTACCCGCTGTGCTATTGCTCTAGCCCCAAAATTGTTTTTAAAGGTAGACAGAACCCAGAATGCTCAGGACTAGATGATGTGCTAATGAGCTTAATATTTTATCCAAACAGCAAATGATCAGAAATTAAAACAAAGATTTAAATCATTAATTTACAATTCAATCGAAAAGCAATCAATTTTACCCAATTTCTCTGTGTAACTCTCCCGAAGCTTAGATGCCATGCAAAACAAGATACATTTGAATTCAATTTTATTTCCTTCCATTAATACTCAGGTTCCGCGGGGGAAAGATAACACTTGCGAGCAAGTCACCCATCCAAATATATATTAGTATTTAATCCAGCAATCGTACATAGAGAATAAATTTTTAAATCATGGGTGTAGAGTTGAAAATAACACATTAATCTTCATTCAATATTCATCCACAAATGTAGTTTCATAAGGAATTCTCAGAATCTAGTATATTTTTCATTTTCTAATCTCAATTGATCTGAGCTAATAAGGAGGCTGTTGTTCAAAAGAATGATCTCGTGGAGGATGATTTACCATGCTTAAGATGGCAAGGGAAATTGGAAATTTATAGATCCTATAAAAAGACCTAGATGTCAGGCTAATTGATACATTTTGGCTACCACTTGAAATTACATCCATTTTAGAATGCCAAATGAACTCTCCAAAGCAACAGAAGAAGAATTACCCTCTAACCATACTGCAGAATCATCAAATGGTTATTTATTAAGCAGCTCAACAAGCATGCCCACATTCTTTTCATCAGCAATTCTTTCTGTTTCTTTGCAACACATATTCATTGTATATAATATTTAGTCACAATAATGAGTACAGGAATAGCCATTATAAAAAACAATAATTCCGTGAAACTAAAGTTTTATTGCCCTGATTGAAAATGAAGATGGGTGTTCCTTGTGAAGAAGTTTTGTCTGCATAATTCTTTATGTTTTCCTATATCAATTCCTCATATAATATATATGTAATTTAAGAGTTGTTAGACTTAGCCATAAATATTTTCTACGTCAATCGCTTAATGGATAGAAAATTAAATATTGCCCTCTACTCTGATATCTCTCTTTGTTTGTGACCCAAAGCAGATTCTGTCATTTTCCTTACCTCCAGAATTTCATTATACCTAAGTATAATCACATGAAATTTACTTTTTAGTCAAGGAACACTGATTGTCTCCAGTTCAGTTACCGTTACTGATTGCAGCCATCCTTCACTCAGACCCCAAACCCTGGAGTCATACCTCCCCACCCACCTCTTTCTCCATCCTTCATCCCATCTACCGGCAAGCCCATGGCTCTAATTATTACCCAAAAAGGTGAGCCACAGACACAGTACATGGGTACTCCTTGCATGGGGCCAACTGTGGTTCAAACCCTGCCCCCACAGCACTGCCAGGAGTGATCCCAGAGTTCAGAGCCAGGAGCAACCCTAACCATTTTGGGGTGTGATCCCCAAAACCAAAAAACAGAAGGCCACGAACTTCACAAATTATATGAAAACTCCTCCGTGAGGTGATGTTGCCGAATCACTTTCCCTGCCCTTCCCTGTCCAGATCTCACCTCTGTTCCCTTGATTCGCCTGGATCCAGCCCACCAACCACTCCTTCTGCTTCAAATATTCCAGCATCTTTCACATTGGCTGCTCTTCTTGACTAGAAAACTGCTTCCTCCCCTCCCCCACCTCTCATCCCCCAGACATTCATTTTCTTTGAGTATTCAGTTTATTTTTGTTGTTGTTTGGGGGCTACACCCAGCAGTATGTGGGGGTTACTCCTAGCTCTGCACCCAGGAATCACTCCTGGTGGGCCAGAAGTTGAACCTGGGTCACTCTCAAGAAAGGCAAATGCCCTATGGACTCTGGCTGGCAGTCTAGGTTTAATGTTACTTCTAGTTTAATGTCAATATCACAGTATTAAAAAATTCAGCCCTCCTGGGGGCTGGAGCTATAGCACAGCGGGTAGGGCGTTTGCCTTGCATATGGCCAACCCGGGTTTGATTCCCAGCATCCCATATGATTCCCTGAACACCGCCAGGGGTAATTCCTGAGTGCAGAGCCAGGAGTAACCCCCGTGCATCATCAGGTGTGACCCAAAAAGCAAAAAAAAAAATTAGCCCTTCTTCCCCTTTCTACAAAATTCCTCTTCTCCATAGCACTTAACATCATCTACCACATGCTATTGTGTTTTTAAAATTCCATTTATTGTTCATGCACTCAAGTTGACTGTATGCCATGCGACCAGAAATTTTTTGTTTGTTTGTTTTGCTCACTATGTGTTTCCAATTCTGAGAAAAGAGCCTGGCATTTTGAGAGCACTCTCATTATTTGCTGAATGAACGAATAAATAAGTCAAAAAATAAGCTATATATGTTAAAATACTCAAATGGTCATACAAAATACGAATAAATTGATAAGTGAGTCTCCTAGATTTAATCACATCATCCAGAAGAGACAGGTAATAATTCTGAGCTTCATGTCTCTGAGATCAGTATGCCATTTTACTCACCATACAGGGTAACAGAAAAAAAAACCATTGGACCTGGGACCAGAGCAACAGTACCACTAGGTACAGTCCCCAGCCCAAAAAACAAACAAACAACAACAACAACAACAACAACAACACACACACACACACACACTTTGTTCCAGAATGCAATTTAAGCTATTATTTCAAAACTAATTTTATAAAATGCAGTGGGGGGGGAGAGTTAAAGGCTTTTAAATTCTGAGTGGTTCCTGTTTCTGCCAGCAAAGAGTAGATATGGTGAGAACAATGACTAGTAAGGAGGCTGCTGAACAGAGAGACATCTAAGCATCTTCTCCTGAGCCAGGATGCTTCATGCTGGTGACCTTGTTCAGTTTGTGGAAGTGAAGGACACTGAAGAAAACCATACTAATTTTATGTGTGCTCGTTGGGTCAGCAAAATTATCCCTCCAAAAAGTAACTGCCTGAGAAAATATTACAAGATGTCCTCTGGCTTGCTTTGAAAGATGAGACTTTTCAAAATACACAAACAAGTACACCCCAGTTACCAGCATAATAATAGCAAAGGCAGCCTTAATCATGCGGTTTTCTTTGCTCCACACCCTTCCTTATTCCTACAGATTAAACTTAACATAATACTTTGGCTTTTACATAATCCTTTTTTTCATTCTTCACTTTCCTATGTCCCTTCTTGAAATATGCCCTAAGTTGTCTTTTTCACAAGTGTGGTACTAAAAATTTAGCACAATATTTCAACTATTTTTGATGAGCCAGGCAGGATGTCATTAGCTACTATTTTCATGTACCTTGTTCTGAAAAGACTGTTTTATTAATGTAGGTTAAGATTATAACGGGCTGGAGTGATAGCACAATAGGTAGGGCATTTGCCTTGCACATGGCTGAACCAGGTTCGATTCCTCCGTTCCTCTCAGGGATCCTGGCAAGCTACCAAGAGTATCCTGCCCACAGGGCAGAGCCT